TACGTATAATATACCGTGTTGCCTTCTTATGTGTGTGTGTGTGTGTGCATGTTTAGGGTCGACCAAAATTGGGGGGGGGGGAGTGCAACGTCTGAATCACGGGGCCACCGTTTACGACTTTATTATCGTACTTACCCTCTCCGACCCCTTTGGACGTGGCTAACCGACCTTTGTTTGTTCAAACATATATATATATATATACACACACGATTACATAGCAATATTTCCGTTCGACCCATAGGTAAGTATATAACTATACTTTGCGAGGGATTTTTTTTATTTTTATTTTATTACCTGCACGCTGCTGCCTTTGGAGTTCACAAAACTTTTACTTCTTCCACGGTACACTCGGCCACGGTGCCGAATATTTGTCTTATTTTTACTACTACCGTACCGGGGGTAAGTATTACTTACCGGTGGGGGGGGGGGCTCCTACCTATAATAATATACTTACTCGCTTATACGTGCTTCTGTGTGTGTGTGGGTATTTATATATGAACGGTCCAGGCAGTCGCGCGTTCGGGATGAGAAGAAGCAATGGAAAAGTAACGCAGTAAAAGGTTTGCCCCACACCTGTGTGTGTGTGTATATGTGTCCACGGCCTTTGCCCGGTGTATATATACCTGCACTCGCCCCTTTGCAGTTAGCACCGTTACTGCTGTTTGTTTTACGGTTATTATTTTACTCGACTTTTGCTTTTTTTTTCCTTTGCCGGGCATTTTTATTATTATCGGCTCACACACACACAGCGGAGGACTTCTTAACTTTTTTTTTTTTTTTATACACAGACTTTTTGTTTTATTTCCTTCGCCGAGTTGGCCGGTTTTTTTTGCTTTACTTTTCTTTTACGATTACACAGCACTGCCTGCCTATGTACACACACACACACACACTAGTATAGCGTATATATGTATAAACGGTGGCAGTATAGAGGTGTGCTAATGAAAATAACCTATACGTGTTAACGCCGGCGCCTATAGCCGTCGTAAAATCACCCCCCCCCTCCAAAGGTCTTGCCGTTTATCAGCTCTGTTCGTCGACAACTTTACTGATCAAAAGTAGTGTTATATATTGTCATCGTTATCCGAAAATGTACTACTAAAAACCATATTGTAATATTGCTGTTATTGCACGAGCAGGAAGTATATGAATCTGACGCGGTTGGTCCGAACGCCATCTTCTTCCCGAAACACATAATATTTAATATTGCGGACGATGAAATGTCCCAAGAACATGGCACACCTGTATGACAAGACAAATGGATTGGTTTTAATTGTTTTCGTTTTTCAAATATAATGTAGGACATCAATAAAATACGCCATCGTAAAATATGCCATTTTAGTAGTCTGATGTCCATGATATTTAGCTTTTTTTTCTTCTAAGATTTGCGACGCCAGGTGTACTTAGCGCAATTGGAATTAAATCTAGATAAGAACACCCCTAACAAACATGGACACGTTAACGTTGATACATTACACTTCTTCTGTAATGGGATTTCCAAAAATCGAGTTGAACTTAACGCCTCTGTTTGTTTTCTTCGTAGATACACTATTATAAACAAATAATACGACGTGCTGGCTGTAATAGAAACCAAATTTTGTTTGTTTCTTATAAAGTCAACGTCTCGCGAGTGCAATCTGCAGCGCGATGATAAGAAAATATTTTATTTGTTTATTTCCCCAGAAATAACACTTATAGCAGTACGGTATAGCATACAGTTACCATACTATAATATTATATTATATACCGCTCAAGGTTGTCCAAGATTTGACAGATTGTTTTATCGTCAAACTGCGGTTTCAATTTTAACGAATCTTTGTACCAGCCAACGGCTTCTAAAAGAAATTTAAACTTTTTAAGTTCCCAGTTCTCTAGCCACCGTTTTTTTTTGGGGGGGGGGAGGGTAAACCCGATTTTGGGAACTAGTCGCACACTGCCGAATATTGTTCGAACAATAGATAAGAAGACGTTAATATTATTAAAGCATTAGCCGGCCGAACCGGCGGCTGTGTAGTATTAGCGCAGTGTGTGTGCGTGTGTGTAACATTATATTGCGGTTAAGCGGATGTGCGGAATTAGGCACGCGGTTTTGGGTTTTACCCGGAGGGTGGGTAATCCCCGTGTGGCAAAATACAAAATACCTAACCTTCCCGCGTACAATAATATAACCGCGGTTGTTATTGTGTTTTTACACGTGTAATAATCGTAATACACATAGTTTGGCGGCGCAAATGTAGTCACGGCGTATGATATTATTATTATTAATTATATGAATAGTAAGTGTGTGTGTCGTGGCGTCCCTTTCGGCATAATCGCCGTATCGTCGCCTGGGGACGTAGTGACCCTTCGGCGTATTAAAGAACACACCTAACCGGCCGGGCGAACAACGACCACGGCGGTTTAAATTATTATTATATTATAATACACACACCAGGGCCACCGCCGCCTTCTGGTCGAATGATATAATAACAATAAAATAATATAATAATAATAAAACCGGAAATATATTACACATAATATTATGTAATACCTATATATGTATAGAGTGTGTTTTAAGAGCTGGTTTTAATTAATTATTATCGCGCTCCAGAGAACCCAGAGCGCATTACTATTACAGTAATAATCATAATATTATACCTACTGCGCGCATAATATATATAAGGCATTTAAACTACTGTACATTTTAGAAGGAATAATAATAAAAAAAAAAATGTATAATACAGTCAGCAGTAAAGTAATCCCGCCCGGTCGTTTCGGCAGAGTCGAACAACAATTTTAAGGTTTTTTTTTTTCAATATGCAGTTTTGGCGCCGGCACACACACACACACTTAAGACGGCTTTACAGACATAACGTTATTGTGCCGTACATAAAAACCCAAAGAGGGGGGGGGGAGGAGGTAGAAAGACCAACTATTAAAATATATTATTATTATATGTAATATCTCTTTTAAAAAATCTAACTGCCGTCTGCGAATATGGCTTTTTAATATTATTATTATTATCGTCCCTTTAACGGCGGCGGCGGTTTTTGTTTTTTATGTACTTTTTCCATCCGCCAGAAATAACAGCTAATACAATTCAATAATTACACGCAGGTATAACACACACTGTATTCATTGTTGTGCGGGTTGGATTTTGTTTTTTGTCGACGACGACAACGGCGACCACGTGGTAATTACCGCGTGTACGGTATACCGCGTTTACAGTTAATACCGTGGTGGTGGTGTTAATATCGTAATACTGTATATTATTGGCTACGGGGGCATAAACAAACACGGCGAGGATAGGCAATAATAATATATTATTATATCATATGCGGAAACCCGTTCGGCACAGGAAGTTCCTATCCAGCAAAAGCTCCCCCGCCGGCCTTTGGCTTTCCAAAAACGGTATGTCCCTAAGTCCGGTTTCCTAACCCCCCCCCCCACCCCGGACCCGACCTTATGCCGTCGCTAATGACCGTTTGTGGCGACTTGCCGTACGCCATTGCCGAATAATAATAATGATAATATGTTAAATCGTTTGAATTGTGCGCATTATACTGTTGCAATATTATTTTGTAAACCCGAACAGCTTTAAGTGATAATCACCACAACCGTGTGTACATTAGCGTTTGTATAACGTTTGCTGGAATATCGTACCTAACCTATTTGAGATTAGCGACGAAGAGGTCGTCTCAAGAAAGAGTAGGAAAACCGGTGGTCATGAGCTTTGAGAGCGACCAGGTAAAAATATATAAATAGGTACAATGTTGAAGAAGTGGAAAGTAGAACAACAAAGCGAGTTAAACGAACTGGAAAGAGACGACGAGGGGGATGTTGTATGTCAGGAAGATGCCGTTTATAGTGAAAGGAAAATAATTAAGAATGATACTGTAGGAAAATGGAATACATAGGTTGCTATTTGACTTTTAAAAATCACCCATTAATTTTAAAATCATTAACATAATGATTGACACTTAATTTTTATTTTTATTTTTGACATTCATTTTTATTAACCACTATAATAAAAAAAATAATATTTGAAACCCTTAACCATAAAAGGTTTAGGATTAAGGGTATTAAATATTGCTTTATTATATATAAAAGAGGCTCAAGTTTTTTCTACACTATAATGAGGATTTTTGTTTGAAACATTTTTAGCCAAAAAAATTATTTAATAGGACGAAATTAACGAAGCATAACATTTGTAACCCAGTACTCATAAAAGATAACAGATTAAGATTGGTTGTACTTAAAACATTGATTTAAATTTTTTTTTTTTTAAGTCAGTGTTTTAATTTTATTTTGTGTTTTTATTTACAATTTTAAAAAAGTGTAATACTTTAATACTAAAATATAATGAACAAAAATGTCAATATCTTAGGAGATTTTCCTTTATTTTTAGATTTTTGTGGGCCACAATGTATCAATGTGGACTAAGTTTTCGTACTATTCTTAGGTGTCCCACTTCAGTTATACTACCTATATGTATATTATCATACTGTTAGAAGAAGTGTTAGAATTCATTTTTAAGACCATCTCTCTGATGTCTTTCTCGAAGCACTGATCGTTCAGTAGCCTTCGTCCGGTCAATTAATAACTTTATCTCGCCTTGTTATCTTTTATAATAATTTGGCCAATTTCCAAGCTAAAATAATAAGTTATACATTACCTCAATGCCTACTGATTCTTGATAAACACGTCTTATCCGTTATTAACCTAAATTGTTTTCTCTCATCGTTCGAATGATTAATATCGGCTATGTTTCTTTTTCATCAAACAACTTTTTAAGGAGACATTACGTTTTTCTCTTGTATGAACATATTGTTACTCGACATGCGAGAACAACTGGAACGAAATCATATTATAACAAAGTACAATAATGTGTAGTATAGATAAAACGTAGCCCCAATACAAAGTGTGCATTAACCGGATGAAATAAACAAATATTATAACCATCCGAGTGGAAAAAACACTGCGTTTATTTAGTATTTTTTATTTATATTTTTTCTCTACAGGCAAACTACATCAAAGCGATTGGATTCGAGACGAGCAACAGCACGACGATGACGAACCAAATACACCACGGTCGAATCGCCTTTGTTCTGGTGTTGTTAGCAGTGCAAAGGTTTTGCTGGACTGTTGCTCAGCCCCAAGCCGGAGTCGGTGTCACACGAGACGGTTACCGTGACTCCGGTTACCGTGACCCCGGTTACCGCGGTTGGTACCGAGCAGACGACGATCCGGTTACCGGACGGCGAGTGTCCAAACGACAGTCGGCAGCGGCAGCGACAGACGTACAAGGAGATCATCAAGACCAAGACGAAGGGGAAGAAGAAGAACAAGACGACCCGGGTGAGTAGGTTTAACTTTTAAGCCAGGGTTTACGGCTGTATCAGTATAGGCCGGTATCACGGTTTATGGGCTGGTTGAGCTCGGTATATTATAAGTAATTCTTCGAAGAAACATAATTTTAACGACGAAACCATCGTGTCGACTTACCTGTACAACTTTGTGTCGGGCGATCACGACGTTTTTGGCAACATTACCAAAGAATAAAAAAATTGTATGCCTTTGGCCCAACAGGTACTATTACCTAATAAAACATTAAAATTAAAAACCTCAGTGTTCATCAAGTCTGGAAATGTGTTTTTATAACCAAAGATACTATTCGATATAAAGGTCTGAAACTCTTCACTGCACTTTTACGTGCCAAGGTGATTCTAATAAGACCCTCAATTAATAAAAATCCCTTCATTGGTTTCAGAAAAACGAAGGTTTCATATAGATAAAGAAACATATGTAGCTAAAATTGACAATTTGTTTAACCGTAAAAAACTAAAATAATTTTTAATTCATATTTTGTATATTCTCGACAAGTTCTTTTTAATGATCTTAGAATTGACTTTCTATAACTTATAGTTAAGAGTGAATTGAAAATAAGCGTTTACAAGAAGATGTAACACACAGACTTTTTTCAAACTCAAATCATTATGCCGCAAGGTTATGAAATCCGACTTACATGTATACAGGGTGATTTATTTATCATGGGCCACTCAATATATCACTGAGTTTAATTAGTAATTGAATTCATTTTTTCATAGTGTTTTTGTATAATGTGATCTAAATTTTCCACAAATTTATTATGTTTCTACCCCCCTACCAAACTAGTTTTTTCGATAGCAACTTTTAAAACTTAAATGGTAATAAATATATTTGTTAAACTTTTAAAATTAAGAATATTCTACTAAAAATGTTGACTGGTCGATAACTAATTTTGGATAATAATTTTTGAAGTTATTGAAGTTTCAAGTTTAGGGTAGGGGGAAGGTGCAGTGTTGCATTATTTTTATCTGCGCGCACTTCCCCTCCTGTCCTAACTTTTAAACTTTAAAATTAATTATCCAAAACTGGTTATCAACCAGTCAACATTTTTAGTGAAACATTCTTAACTTAAAAAGTTTAAAAAAACATATACGTTACCATTTAAGTTTCAAAAGTTGCTATCAAAAAAACTAGTTTGGGAGGGGCGTAGAAACACTCATTAGAGTGGAACGGACCCCATTTTACTGATATTATTTTCCGAACTAGAGATCTTGGTGTTTTGAACCTTGAATGGCATATTATGTGCTCTACGTTTTCCATAATTAATATTGAAAGACATAATTTTAAACGTTTGTGAGAGTTATTTCAAATGTTCCGGTTTCCCTGGTCCACCCTGTACGAACTTTCAATTTAAAAATTTTAACTAGATCAAAGGCCCAATTTTACAACTTTCAAAAAATTCCTTAGGCTAAATTAAAATTAAAAGTTAATATTCTACAAATTAAATCAACCCATTAAACGGTAATAAATTAGGCAAAATTATAAAGTTAAACAAAACGTACCTAGTTTTTGTGTCTCCTTAAAAAAAAAGAGTATTTTGTAATATTGGACCCTTGTTCTAATAAGCGTCTCAATTGAACAGCGACAAGATCTGCGTTGAATTGTGTTGCGTGAAAGCGGTACCTATATAAGTAGCTGAGAATAAACAAATCTATCTTCTCGGAGGGAAATGGTGGGCATTTTTTTTCATTTTTTTTCCCCTTTGCACAAGAGCTTGTTGTGAAATCTGACATAGCATATAAGTATAGTGTGCGTGATATTAAATTATTATTATTGTGTCGCTGACAGTTGAAACGTTTGTCACATTTATTCGGTTTTGTATGCATACATCATTAGCGGCTGGTACATACACACATGTGTGTGTAACATATTCGCATAGTGTGTGATTGGCATGCCCAGGGATGTTTCGGCATTGGTGCAATCGTCTTCAAAACGAATTCGTTCGCTCGAAAAATAAAAATAAATTCATGATATATATATATACATATAGAGAGAGATAGAGGGTTTGTCTCCATTAGCATCCCCGTGGCCGGATGCGGCGCTCTAGTAATTGTAGTCTGGCTGTTGCCGGGTTAAACGAACCGTCGTAGTCGGTAAATACACACACACTTATTATGTATGTACCTATACAATAAAATATGTATAGGTACACACACACACACACACACGCGCGGGGATTATATTATTATGGCCGAGCAAGTGCGGTAAAGGCGTTTAACACATGCCGCGGAGTCGCGCTGATGGCAAACTGTCACGCGCGCCCGCGTGTAAAATCAAAAAAACAGTACTCGTCTCCCCCCCCCCTTTCCTTTTCCTCTTTGCTGACTATCCCTATCCCTGTCGTCGCCTCGTTGTACGAGTCCCGTGGGATGTACAGGGGAAGTTATCGCTGCCTGTGCACATCGGGCTGATTGCCACAACCTCCCCTCGCGTGCATTTGTGTGTGTGCTGGTGTGTGCGTTATTAGCGTTTTGGGAATTTTACCGGTTCCCCGGTGTGTATAGGTATTGGTACACTGTACAATAGTACAATACAGTATACAATTTATACTGGTAACACACGGGGACAAATGTTCGGAAAATCGCCAACCGCGTATGCCGAACACGTGTAACTAACCGCGCGTGGCGGGTGCACGGGGATTTGTATACAATAATTTTTTTAAAAACGCGGCCTAAAATAAAAAACAATAACGCCACGCGAAACGTACTGATAAAAAAAAAAACACCAAAAATACGTTATTTTTTCGCCCATATAATATAGCTTATGAAGTACACACAATCTATGTGTACAAGTGTTCGCCGAACTCGGACACATGTATTATTATACTCATTTTTGATTAAGCCAACACGCGGGTCCAAATCAGTGTGTTATCTAGCCGCAATACGGTCGTGCAAAATGTGTTATTATTATGCCACCGTGTGTAATATTGCATTTGAATATTCATGCGACGGAGTACACTTAGCTTCATTCTTATCATTAGGAACTTTGAATAGTTTTCGAGGAAATATTATGCATATAGGATACTCAAATTGAACCGTCAAAATGGTATTTTTAGCTTCGATTCGACTGAAATTGTAAATACTGTACGTTATCTGAACGTTTGTTACTGTGTTTGAACGTTGTACAGCTGACATGCTGCCGCCAATAGAGATAATATTAAAGACACACCATTTCCGCCATCTTTGTGGCAACAAGAACCTTATCACGTGTCTATAACTGTTATCACTGTTTATAACAATTAAGAGTTGATAGCACAAAATCACAGATATATGTATATATTACTTTATACACACATACATAAATCCCACACAAATGGCCGACGTCGACTTCAAGTCTTATCACTAGCTGTTATCAATCATTATGTAATATATATCTGTGGTCACAGATCTGGAGGATTTTTTACAACTGAAAGTGATAAAATAACTTTCAAATAAACGCTTCGATGTGAATCTTTAGATGACAATAATACATAAATATCGATAAAAGCGTTGTAATGGCAATAAAGCAAGCGCAAAAACATGTATTTTCAATATTAGGGTGGGTACCATTTAGGTTGTTATTCTGTTGATAATAATTTATTGCCGTTTTTAACCGTAAATAATAACTGACAATATTATAATGAACAGATTGTCAAATACCTGTTGACTGTTTATTCACTCTCGCAGTGGAATTCAATACGGTCAGTGTAATTTTTTTTTTACTACAGATTTTTAAGAAAATTGTTAATATTATAAACCCGTTCTAGAATTACCTTCGGTATAATTGTTAAGGTCTATAAGTGGTCTCTAAGACTTCACCTAAATAAGCGAAATAAGGCTTCCTCACTACAATATGGACAGCACCTCCCTTGTGAGTTTATGGCTATAAAAAAAAAACTACTAACAAATCAATGCGAACATTTTACAAAACATTACCCATCACAAAAAGAAAAATGTTCCAGGTTAACAGCACAATAATAATTATTAAACAGTTGTTTCACTAGAAAGAAATTATAAACTCAAAAGCTAAAAGACACTATAAACGTACCACCGGATGATTCAAGAATTTAGATATGATAACAAGTTATACAACAAAATAAATTAGGCCACGGACAATATAAAGCTTTTTGATTTATGATAATTTAAATTATTAATTAGCATAAATTCAAACGCATTTCAACAAAAATCCCTTCCACGAAAACGAAGAAAAATTCAATTATGAAATATTGGGTAAACTACACTTTGTTCGAAAATAATTTCATTAAAGTGGGCTAGTTAACATCAGGCTTTAAGTTCCTATTCATCCAACAGTTTCGACTTGTAACTAAATTAATAGACTCAACCAAAATTAACATAATCGGTATTTTGCCTGATTTTTTAACACTCTAAGCTGTACTTTATTTTAAATTATCTATGTTACCTGCAAGCTTAATACGAGGTTCATATATTTTTTAAAGGGCAAATTATTATGACAATTTATGTTATCGTAGTGAAATATGAATTAAACTTGTCTTAAAAAAATTTCCTGTTTCTATGATACTCATTTTTTATAATACATCAATTAATAACTAGATTATTAGCACTATGCCGACGGAACCTATAATAAACCAAAAAAAATGAAGTTGTTTGAAAAAAGTATAATAGGCGAGTAAGCCTGTTTTCACAGACAGTTTGGTCGATTGTTCGACATCTTAACGTGAATGACTTATAATTTATAAGTCATAAACATTGGGTACATACTATGTATATACTTTATACAACCTAACCCGCTTATAAAGTTTTTACTTTCGAAAATGTTGACTGGTCGATAAACAGTTTTGGATAATTACTTTTAAAGTTACTGGTGTTAAAAATGTAGGACAGAAGATCAAGAGTGGGGTAGAGTAATGCGCGCAGATAGAAACAATACTGCACTCCACTCATCCTGCCGACTTAAAGTTTACAGAGGAAAGCATTTCTATTAAATTGGCTGTGATGACACGGACGGTGAAT